ATCGGCATATAAAACATTAGAAATTAGATATTTGTTTAATTTTTATTGTGTGTTTGACTGTTAAAACAAAAAATATTTGTTGTTTGTCTCAATAAATTGGGTTAATTTAAAAATACAGTGGTTAAATTTTAACTTTTTTTTTCTATTTCTCTGCTTTAAAAACGGTTATAAAAAATTGTCAATAATTATCGATACCGAACGATATGAAACATTATATTGTTGATACATTTTTTAGCTGTATCGCCCAGCCCTATTTTAGGTACTAATTTGTACCTTTAAGGTACCAATATGGACTCTTACGGCCCTGGTGGTCTATACACAGTAGCCAGAGCAAGAGATACGATAGATTTCTTTTGCATATTTGACAGTGTAACATTAAGCATTAGTATTTCAAATGAGTTAAACCTGTATCCTGTCTTGTACCTAAAGAGTCCTGTCTTCGGACTCTTTAGGTACAAAGGTGTGCCTTTTGAAAAGGTACCACCCCAGTGACAGCTTCTGTACCTTTTTTTCTGAGAGTGTATAACCAAACTAGTGTGAGAATAGCATGATTGAACCGTTTTGCGTATCTGTGTTCTCTAGTGTAAGCACCTCCTGGCTGCCTGCCTGAGTCAGGCCATGGGTTTGTGGCAGCAGGAGCAGGTCTCAGATCAGCTGATGACCCACATTCTCTCAGGGTAAGCTGAGGCCAGCACATAAATAACTGATCGTGGAGTAGAGAGAGACTCTGGTTAGAACACCCATGCAGGAATTTAGATATTTATAGTCATTAGAATGGACTCATCTTTTGGGAAATGTTGTGTATTTAAATTAAAACCCAGTATTCTTTTTTTAAAGAGAGATGATCTGTCGTAGAATATTAAACATTGCTGTGAAAGTAAATAAATAAGCAGAGCTATGTCCCTAAATACCAGATGTTTGTGTATGCAAAATACTTTATCAGTTGCCAGAGAATGTACATCTGTTCATTGAGTACGATGGCGTTTATTTTTGGCGTTTCCGTTTGTTTGAAGGTTCGGCACCCTTGACTGACTCTCAGCAACAAACTATGAGACCACAAGGCTTGTTTTGAACTATTAAACATTCAAGTAGCTGTATTTTATCATGCTTTCTAAAAAGAATAAATGAATGTCATAAGTTGTTTTTTACAGTATATATTTTGTATTTGCTGTATATTTAGCATTTAATATGCAGTATACATTTTGCCTTTATTCTGTTGTAGTCCTATTGTAATTCTAATTCTGTTGTAAACATCCTGTGGTCAAAACATGGCTTTTTATAAGGATTTTTTGTTACAATATTCACAAGGTATCTTTTTTAATCGAAAAGTTAAAGGAAGAGGTTTTGCTAATTGAAATACTAAAAATGAAACGAGAAAGAACACAGAAAGCAGATCATACTGAAATAAATGTATGGATATGCAATGTGTCTTGCTCCACCTGTGCTGATATAATGTATGTGTCAATTTCAGTTTCCACGTTTTGGGTGATTGCGTATCCAAACCTCATCTGTCATCCTGTAAGATATTACTTCCACCATATTCAGCGGAGGGTTTAGCAATGGAAAATAGAAACCTACATTGCATTGTGCAAAGTTTACAACCTGACTAGTGTTTGCTTGACAGTGACACTGGTTACATTTTCAGTCTGTGTACAATTCATATTGTATTATGTTTCTGCACATTTATGGATGGCAAACTGTAGATAAACTAAGTATCAGTTTTTGTGTTTTTGCAATGTGTTTAAGTGTTTGAGAATGTGGTATTTAATAATGAAATTATTAGTGTTTATAATTTAGGGAACTGGAATATGGTAACTGCCAAATGAATGAAAACAGTATATCAGCTCGGCTAGATTCTTGGACTTTGTGGCTTTGACTCTGGTAGAAGTGTGTTTATTTGAACAAAGGCTGCATGTGCAGTTTCTCACAACACACACATACAGACACACTTTAGTTCTGAATAAACGGCTGTTGATATTCAGCAGCACAGTTGAGCTGAGCTAAAACTGTCCAACTTTCATATAAAGAGGGCACAAAAGATATATAAACATCTTTTATTAATAAAATAATTCACCATACATAGATATTTATTCATGTTAAATAACAAGACTCCATTTTGATGCTAAAGGTTTTTGTCATGAAACTATTTTCTTTCAACACATACAAGAGAACATCACCGTGTATGTAGATAAGTGACAAATACACACATCAAAAACATACACATTTAAAAGCACAAACTCTTTTCTGTTTGCTCCAAAGGCAAGCATAAAATTCAGGTGCACTTGACTGGTTAAGAAAAGGCCTTTTGTTTTACTGCTTTCAACAGAAAGTACTTCAGTAAAGGAATAAAACATCAGCTAACACAGTTGCAGTGCAGTACAGATTCGTCTCCATTGGAATGTCCAAAATGTCTGGCTCACTCCTTTAGTTTTAGCCCTTGCAAACAGTAACAGATATCTGTACATTTACATCATTTAGAGACTACAAAACACAAAAATACTGCTCAAGAACGGCTTTCTTCCCCTCAATAAATAGAAACCGTTGGCACAGCTGTGGTTGGGGAAGGCATGTCACTGTCAGGGACAAACACATCAGTGCATCTGTCAGCTTGAGTCGGGTACCAAAGGAATAGTTCACCCAAAAATATAGTATGAGGAGCTGGATTTTGGACTAATGAACATTCACTCTGGACAGGGTTACAGAAATAAAAATCAAGTAAATGACAAATGTCTGCCAATCATCACAGTTATGGGGGGAAAAAACACAAAAAAATCCCCTCAGATTTACTTTGGGATTACCATACATCCTCTTTTTCCCAGACATGTCCTGGAGGAGGACGTATGGTCACCCTAGATTTACTGCTTGCTGCTTTGTCACATCACACCTGGACACAGTTACAATTCACGACCAAAAAAGCATATACATACATTCTCTTGATTTCAAAATTACTTCTAAATGTGGGCTGATTAAATTATGGTCATGTTAGACCATAAGTTATGTGTCCTTATTTTTTAAATGCTTCAGATAGCCAATAAACCAATAGCTACATTTACATGCCCTCAAATAATCCGTTTATAATGGCCAAGTCGGACTGAAAAGCATTCATGGTAACACCTCAACTGATCTCAATGAGTTGGATTGAAAAAAGTGTAGACTCAAAATCCATTCAAAGGCTGCATTTACACTGCAAGTCTTAATGCACAGATCCGATCTTTTGACCATATCCCGCCTGTTTACATTCACATTAGACACGACTGGTATCCGATATCTGTGTTTAAATTAATTCCCGCCCAAAATGATTGTCTGCAGTTATTGCTTTGCTTTACTATGCACATGGTAGACCCTCGGGTTTTGAATGGCCGTGCTATTAAAATTATTTATATAATTCACGTCATGTTTTGCAGCACAAAATCTGACTGAACGGATAAATAACAGAAAATAACGGTAATTTTAATTTGTTAGGCTATTTTATCTACAGCTCGTTAGAGGTAGAATTCTTTAGTCAAATAAAGTAGCGCCAAGATGATATTTATTGAAATTAATTCAAATTCATTAATGAGAGAGAAAGAGAACGTGCGAGTGAGTGTGAAGCTTGTTGGTTTAATTACAAAAACTGCTAAGTTATCACCTCATTGCTGAGAAATATAATGTAGCTTTTAGCTGTTGTTTTTATATAATTCATGGGGTTGAAAACCAGCTCCTGAATGTACAATTGTTTACCTATATAAAGTTTCCATTTCAATAAAATGCAAGCGCAAACAGCACATCGGCATTAAAACACAAACTTTATGGGCAAACATGTCGCCCTCGCATTGGGAGTTCTGCAGGGAATCGGATTTTTGTGTTTAGACGTAGGTCGGATGTCCAGATATCGGATATGTATCTGATTTAAAACCACATTTGGAAGTGGCTCAGGATGCAAAAAAAATCTGATCTCATGTGGATTTTTGTGTTTAGACGTAGGTCGGATGTCCAGATATCGGATATGTATCTGATTTAAAACCACATTTGGAAGTGGCTCAGGATGCAAAAAAAATCTGATCTCATGTGGATTTTTGTGTTTACACACGTGCAACAAATTCCGATCTGTGTCAGATGTGAGCAAAAAATATGATTTTTTGTGCCAGTGTAAATGCGCCCAAAAGGGAACTCGGAATCGGGTATTTAAATCAGATTCAAAAACAGGTGCAGTGCCATGATGCGAGGATGTGTTTCATTACTTCTTATTTCTTATAAACTACTAAAAAAGTTTGTCTTTAGTAGTAAAAAAAAAAAAAAGTTTTTTGACAGCTTTCTTTTTGGTTATGTCATCAAGGTAAAAAAAAAAGCACAACGATGCTCACTGTAGTTCCAGTGACTTTATCGCGGTGTCTTCAGTTCTAAATAAAAACAGGTGCAGTGCCATGATGCGAGTGTGTTTCATTACTTCTTATTTCTTATAAACTACTAAAAAAGTTTGTCTTTAGTAGTAAAAAAAAAAAAAAAGTAGTTTGACAGCTTTCTTTTTGGTTATGTCATCAAGGTAAAAAAAAAAGCACAACGATGCTCACTGTAGTTCCAGTGACTTTATCGCGGTGTCTTCAGTTCTAAACGGAGCGACCGATCGCTGCGCGTGCGCTGAAGTTTTGTGTGGAATGCATGTAATGCACATGTAAACAAATATGTGAATTAGATTGCATCTTTTAGGGTTTATATAAAGAGCTTTCAGAATCTTAAATCGGATTGCATTCATTCACACAGTAAATATACCTAGTGACTTGAGTCTAAAATCAGCTTATTATAAAAACCTAACAATGCAAAAAAAAATTTGATGCCAAAACAATCAAACATGCACAAAAAGACATTGAATAAACCATCCAAACATCAATAAAAGTTTTTTAAACCGAGCCAAACTGGAAAAAGTGCAAAAATGTTTGATGTTGCTTTAACTTTTTATGACCAATGCTCAATAAAAGAAGAGTTTAAGGCATTGACATGACCTACACTTGGTCTGGTTAAAGCATAACCTGACATAAAAAGGAGTGTAAGATGACACACTAAATATAGCTTTATTTTGCCTATTTAACTGGACAGACATATAGTGGAGGGAGAAATAATTGGTGAGAGATGGAGATTGGGATGAGGAAACCTTCTTCTAAAATGGGATGACTAAAACCTACATTTCCAAGGCTCAATGTCTGAGGAGCATGTGCTCTAATCACTGTGCCAAGAGCTCTGAGCTTTTAATCATTTTATAATCATAATTGCGATTCATCAAAATGTAGTCTAGATGAGCCAGTAAAGGCACTGATGAATGAAGAGCAGACCTCTCTCTAGAGCTGTAGTTATACTGTAACGGTGGTTGGTGATTAATAGAAGAGAGTGGCAGTATTGACACTACAGATTGTTATAAACTGTCCAGCTCTGGTGGTGACACTGTAAATCTCTCTCCAGAGGAGACAGTCTTTGCTCCAGGTCAGCTGCTGTTGGTTTGGTCTGGGTAGCTTGTCACAGTCAGACATTCAACAACAAACTGATTCCTAAGGGCTGTGACACATTAGCAGACAGAAATCAGAAATCTGAGGACACTGATATCACAGTGAGCTCCAAACATCTCAGACCACAGTGAAAACCTGGGATTCAAATCTAAATTAAACTAATAAACAGGTTCTAAATTGAATGTTTTTTTTCTACTCTTTGAAATAAATTAAAATATAAGTTTAAACATAGAACCTGAGATAAAATGAACATTTCAGGTTCTGCACCTTTTTTTTTTTTTTTTTTTACATATTAAGTAAGTATATGAGTGACATTGATAATGTGAGTCTGTATAGATCAGGGGTTGGCAAGTTCGGTCCTAGAGAGCCGCAGTCCTGCAGAGTTCAGCTCCAACCCTAATCAAACACACCTGAACAATCTAATCAATGTCTTCAGGATTACTAAGGCTATAGGCAGGTGAGTTTTTGTTTTCAGGGTTGGAGATGAACTCTGCAGGACTGAGGCTCTCTAGGACCGAACTTGCCTACCCCTGGTATAGACAATCAGATGTTCTTTCAATGAAGCTCAAGATGTTCCTTGGTTCATTTCAAATCATACTGGAGAACATGATCATCAGGTCTGACAAGCTTAAGAAGTTCATGCAGCTCAACTTCTGATAATATAATGAATAAGATAATACAATGCAGAGTATAAAAAAGGTATTTTCACTAGTTGTCTCAGGTTTTGGACACACTGTGTAGATGCAAGAAAGAGAGTGTAATGGTCATTTAGTAACAGACTGACCCAAAAAGTATTTGTACACTTCAGCAACATTTACAAATGTCTGAATGTAATTGCATTAGATAACAAAACATCAAGGTGCCATTTATTTTAAAGAAACATAGCTATGTTTTTTAGTTATAAACTATAAAACAATATGAAATAAAAATTCAGACAGAGTATTGGGACACTTTTTGTTATGTAATGCAACACATTTTGAGGTGAGCCTGTCCAAATACTATTGGGGTCACTGTACAGAGTATCTGTGGGAGTCATTTTGGTCTCACATATGAACTTGAGTTGGGTTGGGTTAACTGAGCTGTGAATGGACCAGTGGTGCCTTTTGAAGTGATGAAAAAACTGAAAAGTGGGGTAATTTTTCATATTTGGGTGTGCACAAAATCATTTTATGATTTCTTTCTATTATGGGTTCTTAAATTTGCTTTTACCTTGTGTTCCTGAGCCGTCTAAACCAGCCATCTCCTCTGTAAAAAAAACAAAAGAAACTAATACATTCAAGCATTCGGAAATAGTTTCTTTGTGTTCCTTGTTCCATGGTGGCGTATTCAGCTGATGTGCCTTATGAATTCAGCTTGTTCCTCTGGGCTGTTCTACAGACAAGAGATCATTAAAGATTTAACTAAAGCTGCCCAAAATTACAGTTTTATTTTTCTGCAGGATCTTCGTGTAGGTTTCTCATACATGGTTCAGTTCAGCACTTCAGAGGCTCACTGACCGCTCTTAGCTTTCATTCCTGCGATAAGGCTTGACCTAAAGCTGCTGAGAAAGTTTCTTAGTGCTTGGAAATGCAATCTGAAATGCAATATTTCCACATTTGTAGTGGTAGTTTTTTTTTTTTCACAGTTCAATGTTAAATCCTCAATGTTCAATCGTGTCCACAATGGCTTCATGAAAAGTGGGTCTTGCTAGATATCATCTTAATACAAGATCATGCTGTTTGCAGTTCTTTGGTCTGTAAACATTTCTCTCATATATTTTGACAAATACATCTAAAGTAGAGGGTCGATGGTCATTGTAATCTGGTCTCTGTGACGGCTGCTTCCATTGGAGCTGCGATACAACTCATCCCGTCGACAAAAGAAATGCCGGTTCAGAATCTTCCTAAAAGTGACTCTGAAGTCCTGGATGCGGTAGGCGTAGATAATGGGATTGACGGCGGAGTTGGCATGCGAGAGGATGATGGCGATGTTCATGATAAAGATGGGCTTTTCCAGCTCGGTGTAGAACAGAGTGAGGCAGTTCAAGATGTGCACGGGCAGCCAGCAGAGAGCGAACAAGCCCACGATGATGGAGAGCGATTTGGCGGCACGAATCTCCCGCTGCAGCAGGCTGTGGTGGTGATTCTCACCGTTATTCACGCTGCATTTGAGCTCGATCTGACGTAGCTGTTTACGCGCCACCGTGAAGATCTTGACGTAAATGCCCAGCATGATGAGCAGAGGTGGCAGCACGCAACCGAAGAAGTTGAAGTACACCATGTAACTCATGTCCACTACGTTCTCGAAGAAGCACTCGAGGCAGCAGCTTTGCAAGAAGCCCGTTTCCATCTGAGCGGCATCACTGCTGTTGCTGGTCTGTATAAAGCTGCTTTCGTTTCTGAAACAGGTCAAGTCTTTATGGTTCCAGCCCACGAATGGAATGAGTCCAATGATGAAGGATAAGATCCATAAAATGGCAATGATCTCTCTTGCCCTTTTCCCTGTGACAAGCTCCTTATACCTGTGCAGATGAGTGGACGTAGAACAAAGATGATTAACTTGGCAAATTTGAACTTAGCTAAAATTTTGTCTTGTGATGGTTAAGTTCACTATACACTGGGGTCCAAAAGTCTGAGATCACTAGCAAAAATGCTTGTATTTTGAATTTACTTGCATTAGTCTGTACAAAAGCCACATGATCAATGTCACAAATCTACTTTTTTTTATTAGTGACCTAGAAATATTGCAGAATATTTTTTTTCTTCATATTAAAGGGATAGTTCACCCAAAAATGAAATTAGCCCATTATTTACTCACCCTCAAGCCATCCTAGGCGTATATGACTTCCTTCTTTCAGATGAATCCAATCGGAGTTATATTAAAAATTGACTTTGATCTTTCAAGTTGTTTAATGGCAGTCAGCGGGTGTTGCAGTTCATCAGTCCAAAAGAAGTGAAATAAAGCGCATCCATGCATAATAAAAAAGTGCCTCACACGTCTCCGGGGAGTGAAGTAACAGACTGACCTCTTGTAGCGACTCGATGCATTTTTGTAAGAAAAATATCCATATTCAAAACGTAATAATCACTTAAATGTTGCTTGCGCCAACAGTTGTACACGGAAGCAGTTCCGGGAGCATGACGTACGAGTTCAGCGTTGCGCATGCGCCGGTGAGTCTCGTGAAAACCAACGTTTGTTTACAGGATCAAAAGAAGCAACGTCTCCTTACTTTAGCAAAGCAAAACCAGTCTCCTCTTGGCTTATATCGAAATCCTCTGACATTCTTCTTTACAAATCCTCATTTTGTACTTCTAATTCGTGACCGTTGTTTTGTTTTAATTTCTCCGCTGCGCTTCCACGTTCGTCACTTCTGAGCGGCGCATGCACAAAGCCGACCTCATACGTCATCTGCCCGGAGTCTTTGTTCACCCCCCGCAGCCTTGTGAGGCACTTTTTTATTATGGATGGATGCACTTTATTTCACTTCTTTTGGACTGATAAACTGCAACACCCGTTGACTGCCATTAAACATCTTGGAAGATCAAAGTCAATTTTTAATATAACTCTGACTGGATTCATCTGAAAGAAGAAAGTCATATACACCTAGGATGCCTTGAGGGTGAGTAATTCATGGGCTAATTTCCATTTTTGTGTTAACTAACCCTTTAAGACACATTTCTATGGAAGCTTTTTTCTGCAATGGGTTAAAAAACTAATAAATAAAAAAGGTAATTGCAACTTTTTACATCACATTTCTGACTCCCCCCCCCCCTCCCCTCCCCACAAGTTTATATCTCACTCAATCAGAATTCAGAGTTGCTAGATATAAACTCACAATTCTCAGAAGTCGGAATTGTGAGATAAAAAGTAACGTTATTTTTTATTCCGTGGTGGAAACATAATTAGAAGATGTAAACTCAGAATTCAGAGACAAAAATCTAAATTGCAAGATGTAAACTCGGAATTGTGAGGGGGAAAAAAGTTGAGTTTGAGTTTATATTTCACATATCTTAGTTTATATCTCTCAATTTTGTGAGATAAAGTTGCAATTATCTTTTTATTTAGGTTTTTTTATCCTGTGGTGAAAACAAACTTTCATACATTTTTGCTTTAAATTGATCCAAATTCTAAAACTTAGTTTATTTCCAGGTTTAAATTGCATTTTGAATCATAAATTTCAGTTTGCTCCTAGAATTTTGGATCCCACTGTTTATATATTAATTTCATTAAATAGCAAAAACTTTCAGCCTCAGAGTAAAAAAATATATCATCTATTCTGAGGCAGGGCTTCCATATAAAACAGCCAATGCACTGTTCAAAATAAATAAATACACTAACAAAAAGAAAAGGCTGCATTGTGGTTGTCATTAGGGATGTTCATTTCGGTTATTTTTCCTAACCGACAACCGACGCTCGTTAACCATTAACAGACAAGATTATTTTAAATTAAAATTGAATTAAATTAGAAAGGATAAGTGTCTGTGACCTGTTAAAAAATACGAACATTTGTTTCCCGGGGATTAATTTTACATGTGCAAAAAGCAGCAAACAACAGAACATGAGGATTCACATGGTCTTCATATCACATCACGCACCTGCAACGCTTCTGCGAGCAGAGAAAAACATAATAAAGCTAGGCTATATAACGAATAAATAGGCCTATATGAGAAACATATTTTTTTACTTATATACCGTTTTGACCGGGTCGTCTTATAATCAGGGTCGTCTTATATTCGGGCCAATACGGTAATAAATTAAGAAAATGAAAGAAAAAACTGTGCAACAAGTAGCCTAGTAAGCAGAGTTTCGGTTCATTTTTGTGCTGCGCGAAAGGAAACAGACGACAGAAAGCGGCATCCTATTTTTCTTTAGGCTTATTTTACAAAAGCACAAAGATTTGTTTTTATTGTTAATGTACCCAAATAAAGGCAAACCTTTTACAATTCTGATTATCTTTAGGACTAAAAGGAGTAGTTTCTTTCACTGTTAGAAGGAGAGAATTCAAGTGATTGCGCTGGCGCCGCATGCGCGCACACAGTTAAGCGTTGCTACCTTGACGATGCAGCCTGTTCATTATCTAATAAAATACAGTCAGTTAAACATATGGATAAAAACAACACCACATCAATCTGTGCCGTTAAGTGTTATCACAGTACTGCCATGATGTTATGCAAAACATTTACATAATAAATAATAATTTGCCATTCAAATACATCACAAATACAGAAACATTTGATTTTGTGTGGAATGAGAGACCCAACGTTGGTTTCAGTTTCGTTTTAACCTAAATGAATTCATTTTGGCTTGTCGTTTATATTTCTATAGCTTCTTATATTTTTAATTCTTGTTCTTTTCTAAATACTGTTAATTGAAAGGATTTGTTGTGGAGTGAGGGAACTAAAATAGCCTAGCTATGTTTACAGTGTTTATTATAATGTTTGTAAACATTTCGTGTTGGCATTAGGCCTATTTCTGAATGAAATAATAAAATGTGACTTATACGCGACTTATGTTTTCCCCCCTAAAAAACACACTTTTTTTATACGAGTAGGGTATTTTAACCATGCATCAAACCTTTTAAAATATTTTGATAAAGTACTGAAAAAAATAATAATTAAATGTCTTTTTAAACCGTTTAACTGATTGTATTAATCGGTCAAAAGTCTTACGGTCAGTTAAACGGTTAAAATGAACATCCCTAGTTGTCATCAGTACATAAGCAGATCATGTTCAGAGTGCTGTTCATGTGATGAGCTACACCTGTGGTTACTCTGATAGGACACCTGTATGAACTTGAGGAGAACTGACTTCATACATCCACTAACAATCACTGCAACACCAGCTAGTTAAAAATCTTTGCAAAAAAGTAAGTTCTGACGAAAGCTTGTGCATCATTTCTTTGCACTAGCCATTAGATGTATGTTATGTATGTATGTATATAATGTTATAAATCTGATGAACGTTTGTGTTCAACTACTTCTTGAGGTCACTGTGTATATATAGTAGGTTGGAGAGGGCAAACGAGTGAAGGGGAAGAGAGCCTCACATAAACACTGATGTGACTGATGGCTCAAGCTTTCACTTGGAGGCTCTTCATCAGGCATCCTCAGACAGCTCTGATTCTGCTTCTACTGATGGACTGAAGTGAGTAATGCCTGAGGTGCATTATTCATCACACCAACCACAACCTTTCTGCTGGGCTGCTACAGCCATCAGTGATGCTGACCCAGTGACAGATGGAGGGAGTTGGGAAAGCACTGACAGATAACATCATGTTGGACCGCAGGTAACGAACTACATTATCTTATGCAAGCATGATTACGCAAGTCATGATTTCAGTTCGAAGGGAGCTTATATGTTCCATTCAAAGGGCATTAAAGTGTGCGAGACATGAATTTAAAGGGGGCATATGGTGCTGCTAAAAAGAACATTATTTGGTGTAATGAAATGTTTATGCAGTTAAAAAAATACAATATTTTCCACATACTGTACATTATTGTTTCTCCTCTATGCCCCGCCTTTTTGAAACGTGTCGATTTTTACAAAGCTCATCGGACTGAAAAGCGAGGTGTGCTGTGATTGGCCAGCTATCCAGTGTGTTGTGATTGGCCGAATACCTCAAGCGTGAGACGGAAATGTTACGCCCCTCACCATACTGTTGATGCCGTGTCCCGGCCGGAGCGACGAGACACGCGTTTAGTTGCATTGCATCGCGCCGCGTAAACATAAAACCCTGTCTGCATTTGTGATCCGAGAAATGACAAACAACAAGTGCTACTCTACACTGCCCAAAACTCGCGTTTGAATCATCAGTGGCAAATCCTTTAAATTAAAATGTACTTACGTAAGTCAGAACTGCCGGCATTTTAGTCTAACGTTACTTTCCCAGGATTAGTAAACAGTCCTCCATAAAATGTGCTGCACACATCTCAATATTTGGGTTGAGCTGTTCTGGAACAGTGTTGTAAATACAACTTAACCACTGATTTCTTGTCGTGTCCTCTTTTGGAAGACCAAACAAAGTAGTTTCGCTTTCACAACGAAAAACACAGCGGCCTAGCGGAAGCCCCGGCTTAGCGTGAGCTGAGGCGGCGGGGTTGAGAACGGCGCAGCCGGCGGATCCGACGAAGGAGCAGCAAGCACATGTGACGACCCCGGGCTTCGTCCACGGTGAAAGTCGATCCGGCAATCCACAGCACTAAGTTGATGTATTCCCTCAGCGAACAGCACGGATCAGCTCTAGGCATGATGAAGCGGATATCGTCCTTTTTTGGAAGACCAAACAAAGTGGTTTCGCTTTCACAACTAAACACACGGCGTCTTCAGGACATGGCGGCAGTGGCAACAATACTACAGTGAAAATAAAAGTTACGCCTTCTTTCTTTGCGTGAACATTTGGGCGGCATTATGCAAATCTTCCCACATCGTGAGGTAGATATGTGGGGGTGTGTTCGAACGAGCTGTTTTAGGTAGGAGTGGCTGACTCTTAACTTTTATAAAGAATATCTCTTTGGATTTGAGACTTTAGTCTTTGCAACTTTACAGATCTTCTCTATGCACCAAGAGCTTGTAACACTACAAAGAGAAAGGAAAAATTGAAATCGCATCATATGACCCCTTTAAATTGTATTTATTTACAAAGGTACATTGTCATACTTCACACTTCTCTAGTAAGTTTTGTCTGTGTGTGAAGACGCTGCAGGCAGTGGCGTAGCCCAAATTTGTGAATGAATGTTCCAAAGTGAAGTAAACTTCAACAGATTTCCCGTGCTCAGGGAGTAGAGAGCAATGGACACTGTGTAGGGACCCTGTCAAGAGGAACACATGGATGGAGCTCTCCTCTAAGGAGCTGGTTATCTGAAAAATGTTAAATCAAATTTTATTTACTTTTTTTTTTTTTTTTGGGTAAAGGTCGCAGGAATTGACAGTATCATGGCTCAACATGAAGAGCATGTGCACTTACTGCTAGGACATTACTTTAACTTCTAGTTGTGCAGATTATTTTCTCCATCCTTGGCATTTTTGTAGCACATTTAATCAGTAGACCTATTCTCTAATTTTTCTTTCTCCAGATGCAAGGACACATGATGTCATTGCATTTAGCTCCAAGAGCACAGTCTCCTTTTGTTGGACACTTCTTTCAGCTTTAACACGTTTTTCTCTTTCTCAACGCCAGCTCTCCTCTACTCTCAGGGCACATGAATGGAGGAAAGAGTGGATTAGTTGTGGCATGACAACAACCCGCTGGCATCCCCATCTCTCTCTCTTTCACCCCTTCATTCTATTCCACACAAAAATCCCTCCTCTAACCCTTCCATTCTTCAGCTGCCTCGCTTGCGCTTTAGACCACAGAGCTCTGCCAACAGGCTCCAGTTTAAGTAAAAACAGTTGACACAATGGATCTAAAGGGAGAAGGTCTCAACGGCTTTGCTCTTAACACGTGTGAGCAGGTGCATTAAAACAATAGTTCACTACATAAATAAACAGCATTCCAGATATGTTGGAATAAATGGGAAAGGTATGGCTTATTAGATATTATGACAGTGTAAATGCATTAAACTAAAATTGTTGTTTTTCTAAACATGTATGACTTTCTTCTGGGGCATGGGTTATTATCGTTAATTAAAACAAAAATGCTACTAATATTTTTGTTAATTGAAATCGAGCTGAAGGAAATAAATGGAAATAAATACTAAAATTCCCCACTGACTTTCATTATAAATGCAAAAACATTCTATGACAGTTAAAATTATATAAATGATCTTCTTTTGTGTTACACAGAAGTAAGAAAGTCATCAATTACAGCATTCCACGTCCTTTGGAATGCCGAAGACATTTGATTAGTAGTCCTAAATTCTCAGTGTCACTACTGGATTTTTCCCCCACTATTTAAAAATATTAGTACGTTGACCTGTAATGCATCAGTAGTTCATCAATCCACTTTGTTCTCAGTTATTTATGACTCAATAAAAAACATAAAATGAGTAGTTCATCCAAACATGAAAATTCTGTCAGCATTTACAAACCTTCATGTCATTCCAAACCTGTATGACTTTCTCTCTTTTTTTGCAGAAAACAAGAGAAAATATTTTGAAGAATGTTGGAAATTTTGATACTTTTGTGAGCCACAGAAGAAAGTATGTCATACAAGGTTTGGAAAGACATGAGGGAGAGTAAATGAACTATCCCTTTGAAGAAAAAAAATCTCCGAAGCATCTGGTTGTATATTAAAAATTAGGGGTGCTCCGATTGATCAGCTACCGATCACTATCGGCCGATAATCACGTTGGGATGTTTGATCGGCGGTCTCTAAAAAGGCCGATCTCAAGCTGATGACGCTGCCGTAAGAGGTTTGGCACGATATGCAGCGGCACCGTCTGTCCGGCGCGGGTGAACTAATTATAATGCATATTTTTTCATTAAATAACTTATAAAGTAATTTGAAAACCTCGTGAGTGAATCACTGTGCACGCGTTCTCTTTCTCTCTCAAAATAAACACAAATGGCTTCAAATCGCCACACATTGCGTCTGTCTATAAGCGAGCTGCACGCTGCACAGTTGACACAGGAATTGTCACTTGCACAATTGAGGCAGTGTCACATCGTCTCTAAAGTTTATAAATTGCATTACTTTATTCTTGCCAGTGTTTAACCATTCAGCGCGCTCTCCTGGAGGCCGTACGCTCATGCACACACACATAACGCCAGGTTCACATTATTCTGTTTGCAGTGCATAGGTGGTGCATATTTTTTCTGCGCTCATGTTAACGGATTAAAGTGTTCACTGCACACGGTTGCGGTCCGGCAGTGCGTTCAGGTGCGGAGCGTCTGCTGCAGTGCAGAGATCGTTTCCGCACCGAGTCTATTGCTGCGCTGCAAGCGCTGAATTAAAGGAACATCGCATTGTTTGCAGTAAATATGAACATGGATTGACACGAAAATGTAGTAATTACACCATAAATGCATATTATTAAAGTCTACTGTGTTTCACAGTCAACACATGTGGCTTTTTGGCTAGGTTTAAAGGGAAAAAGCACTTTTAGATAAACAAGGCAATAATAGATGGCGCTCGTGGAGGTAGGAAAACAAAGTTCTTTATGAACCGCACGATTGCTTGTAATAAAGATTTAAATGCAAAAGAAAAGGCAGCGGAGCTGACTATTTCTATCAATGGTAAGTTTGTGATAACGTAAGAAAAGTAGTTTAAATGTTTTGCCACTTGCTTGAGCACCTGTGTGAAAGCACAGTCCGTGCTGCTTCCCCTCTCACAAGAGTCACCTAAGAGGGGAATTCCCCCCATTTTCAAAAATGAAATTCAGGCCCTGAATAAATGTCTAAAAGTCCTGATTGGAGTATCACTATAAATGGGTATAAATGATCAAAAGAAGGCTTTAAAAAGATCGGTGATTGGTATCGGCAGATACTGCTTTCTGTGATCGGCGATCGGCCTCAAAAATCCTGATCGGAGCACCCCTATTAAAAACTCATTGCATGGTTTTCAAACAGATTGCACCACTAAAAGGGAAAGTCCAGCCATTAACCACCTCTTAATATTTAACAGTATAACCAGTGACTCTAGGCCTCTTTTGCTCAACAGTGGAAAGACCTTCTGATTCAAGCCCACACTTACATTTATATAATAGCGGCCTACTGTTTTAGGAAACTTGAACCCTATTTAGATCCTTCAGTCAGTGGACATGTAGCTAAACACAGCCAGTACTGAGATTTCATGTTTTTACACGGAAAGAGAGATGGAGAGAAAAGGCAGATGAGCGGAGTATGTGTGCATGAGAGAGAGAGATGAGGTGGTCCAGTCAATGAAAACCGAACGGGGAATACTGTCTGCCAGCACAGTGAGGAAACTTAGTTTCTCTTGGATCATCTACTGACAGCCATGCCAAAACCCTGTATTTCCAGTAAATACAGCGTAAATAGAAACATACGTTCATCTTGGCCATGAAATGGTGAGAGTAACATGACCACCCAGGATCTGAGATGATTTGGAGTACACTGAATTGCTTTATCATTAAAGTCACCTACTGTAAGCATTTTCTTATTCAACACTATCATTAAAAACACTGTGAAATGAGAAAAACTGCATTCCCACAGGACTTAACTGTGTTGGCTGTGGAAGTGAAACCCAAGGCCTAAATATTCAGTCTCATAAGTGTGCTTCAGTAATTACACGGCATGAAGCAGAAAGAGAATGCATGAAATTACCCATGCACCCTTGTTTGTGTATCAGTCAGTCAATATGTAATTCCTTTTCTTCTTTCATGGTTTCCATTCATTTTGAAGAATGATGGCACAAGTGTCACTCAGCAGTGTAAAAAGATGTCTCCCTCTCTAAAATGTGAACTTAAGGCTTGACAACATTTCAATGTTGAGCAGTTTAACATTCCGATTTTACAAGATTACGCCGTTCATATCGTTCAAATGAACCTAATGCTGCTTTGTCATTCCTTTTTTTCTGTCACGTAATGCGTGCACTCTGTAGGTGTTTTGAATGGGGTTTTTTTTTGCGTCGTGAGAATATTGAGCACTTGTCATGGTGTTACTTAACTATATCATGTTATGAATAAACTAAACATTCAGAATTTTTACCTCAGTGTGTTTCTTCTGAGTTACGCTCATTTGTTTTGAAGACTCCCAAAGAGACAGAGTGAGCCTCAGCGCGACATTGTATTCTTTTGTATACTGTATATTTATTTTGATATATATATTTATATATATATATATATATATATATAAGAACCTTTTTTTCACAACAATCACATTTTTTTAACTGCCCTCTTGAGATTCACGTATTAACACAGATTAAGAAAATGAGGCCAATATCCATTTCAGGAAGCCGAGTTTAGCTTGTGACTGCGTGTGGCTTGGTCGTGCTGTCCTGAAGAAGTCTTTCAGCGTTACAACTTCGATAAACTAGATGAACTTCGAACGGATTGCAACAGAGGCACGAGCATCACATATTGATCGGAGAAACTCGGCTTCTGCTCGCTCGCTCTCGAATGTGGTTACTCAACATAGCAGCCTTTCAGGAAAGATGCTGGTCGTTTTGTTGTGTGTTTATAAAGATGAGATGAACAAAGTATATCATATTAATGAGTGCACTACCTGATCATTTATTCAGGGAAGAAAATGCAGAAGCCAGCGGAGAACAGGTTCATGGTGTCACGCGGGGAATGTTGTGCACGTGTCAGAAGTCTTTGAAATGTCAAAGTTTGTTTCAAGGCAGCAGCTGTGAAACTGTATATATAGAGGTAATGCTTTATTTAAGAACCAAGACTCATACATACTAGGTAGTAATGAATCGCTCAGTGGTGATGGAGAGGAAATGCTAATAAACGGAAAAACTCACCTCAGGGGGATTTTTACAGCCAGATATCTGTCGATGGCAACCGCCAGAAGACTAAATATTGAACTTTGAGTCAGTACCAGAACGAAACACGCCAGGAAAAGGCATCCATAGAAGTCTGAGCGCAGACCAATGCTTATAGTGATGGCAAAAGGGATGGCAAGACAGCCAACCAGAATATCTGCCACGGCTAGAGACACCAGAAAGTAATTGGTGGCGTTCTTGAGAGTGGAGTTGATGGCCACAGCCCAGCACACCAGCACATTACCGGAGATTGACAGGACGGCGATCATCAGCTCAATAGCGATGTACAGCGGATCCATTGCTGCACACTTCACTGAGAAACACCTCCAGACAGCAGTTAGGATGTCATGAGTCTGTCTGTCACGCTGTGCTGCTTGTCCAGTTGTAAAAGAACCAATTTGCAATAATCCACGGATCTCCAAAGTTTGTGATTTGCCAAAACGGCCATCTGTTGATTAAAAAAAACAAAACAAAACTGCGTTATTTGTACTCGCTGCCAGAAGAGAATGATTCAGAAGCGTTAGAGGCAGATAAAGACGCAGTGTTTTCTTCCTCACAGATACCTAAAAGTTCCCACTGACGAGCAGAAACTTCACAATAGAAAAGAAAGTCACAATAATCTGTGATTTTGGATGAGGTGGAGTTACTCACCCTCATTTCAGAGGTGTTTTGTATTGTTTGACGTCTTGTGGTACATGTTGCAGAAGCGGCAGTGCAGTAGTCTGACGCACCGCGAGCGCAACACATGGCTTTTCAAGCAGCTCGAGGAAAAGCGCGAGAGAAACAGCCTGTCCATCACAGCTCGAGCCACGCCCAGCCGCGCGCGCTCAGATGATTGGAAATGAGCAATCTCAAATACAACACGCATTTAGGATTGTCCGCTGACAACTATGATCAAAAAGAATAGACGATAAAGAAAAAAAAATCTAGTCAAGCAAGATTTGCCTTTCCTTAAAGAAATTAGAATAACTGGAGAGCAGATAAAGAATAGCGTTAAAGTAAAATCATAGTAAGAGAAGTTGAAGCTACACACACGAATATAGGCTAAACAAATGGAGAGGGAGATATAGATATTATATTTAATAGAATGCAACCGATAGGCAGCAATATTACAAAAGACCAATCAGAATTCAGTCTCCAAATTTTACTTGACAATCATAGTTCACGCAATTTGAATGGCGAATATTCTATCAATGGCTTCAATATGATTTTTTAAAAACAGTTTCATAATGAAATTGTATCATTTCCTTATACTTGGTTTAGTGCAAACTCCTTCTGGAAAAAGTGAGAAAGGCTTGCCATGTTTACTCGTCTGTTTATCTGCCCTTTAAGATAGATTCTATTTTTGTCCTTATTGACATTTTACATTGATTGAACTTATCTGTGTGCTTTGCCTATAGATGTCTTGTCTGGTTTTCTGAAAATTGAGCATGTAGTATTTCTGAGAAGATCTTGGTATGTGAGAGTAGTGAGTAAGGGACAATATTGTGTAATTGCCAAAGATTTACAACGTGGACTGTGTTTATCTCGAAGTCTGTCTGTAGCCACAAACACATTTCAGCACATCATGTTAAGGGTTTGTAGACCTATAAAACCCGGTGCAATTATGACTCCTAAATTGCACAGTTCACTTCTGCATAAATCACATGGCAGGAGAGATCATCTGAAAACATATTAGCATTTTGTGAATGAATATATTGTAGGACATTTCTCTCTGAGATTCTCTGTTCTGCTCTAATAAAGGTAACATTTTAATTCAAACAAGCAAACTATATATATATATGTGTGTGTGTGATGGCAAAAACCTTTATTACCATTATCATCAATTAACAGTCTTCAATCATGAAACAAAACTGAAGTTTCAAATAGAAAAAAACACACAGAGTCAATAAATAGCATTTCCATTAAGAAAACATTTGAAAACACAGATGCTGTTTTTGTATGTACTGATTTGACTTCTGTTGAGAGAGAATTTATTATCAGTTGTCCATGCGTTTGAATTAACAAAGAGGAGTTGTTCAAATATGGCACAAATTACACTGCTGACCAGCCTAAACACATTCTTGTGAGAGTCTTTTTCCAATATTGATACTTTTTTAAACATGGTTTCAAAACCATTTATTTAAACACATCTCATGTAATTTAAACGGGCACAAAAAGCATTAAAGAATTAATGGTTGTTTGAAACGGTCTCATAATATTCAATCAGACATTGACTTTCTGGGATTTTTCAGGAAATAACTAGAGTAATATAGAAATAATCTTAGTGTTTGTTAATACGGAATACGTAAATGTGCAAACGTGTTAAATAATTGGGACATTTTTAAGGTTTTGTTGGTTGTTGTCTCTCTGAGTGGCAAACTACAACTTTTCAACAAAACAACTTATTTTCATACTTCAGGTTTGACGTCTTACCAACACATATTACAAGTCTTTGAATTTATTTGTGGGATAAATACAATTTTAAAAATACTTTAAGTATATCAATATACAAGTATGTCAATATATAGATTTGGGTAATAATACTCGCTATAAAGATTAGCAGCTACACTTGTACTCTTAGCAACAACTTAGCATACTAAAAAACTACCAGTTTCAGTGCAAGATTGCAAACCTTCAAAGCAACTTCAAAAACTGAGTTAGGTCTATATGACACACGAATTGTAAGAAAAAGAGAAGTTGTTTGAGACTTGAAGGATTGTGTGTTTGACTATTAAACTGATGATATGCTGGCTGTATTTAGAGAGAGAACCTGACTGTGTGAACACTACAGACCTGTGTGTGTTTGTATATTTAGAAACAATGTGAAGGGAGAACTGGACCAGGCAAATAAAAGTGCTTCTGTGCCCTCATCTTCATCTTCATCTTCGTCTTCCTTTCTTCCAGTCCAAAATTAAGTCTCAAAGTACTTATAGATCTGAGATACATATTGCATGACACTTTGCCAGTCCGGTCGGTCTGTGTGCATCAATTCATCGATGTCCTAAAGAGAGAGCAGATGTAGAAGTTTAGATGTAGGAAATACTTTTACACATTTTCATGCACATTTCTTTAACTGTGAGCTTAAACATTTTTTTTAACCCTTGCCTTAGACTTGCATTCTTAAACTATAAAAGTCTATCTTAAAAATATTGTAATTTTATTAAATATGATGATCTGAAAAAGGAGTATTCACACATGTATTGTGTGAAAATGTTTTATAACAGTTTTTCTGACATTTGCGGTGTTATTTCCACCACAACAAACCATTCTGGCCACCATCAAGCTATCCAAGATTTAGATGAGTTTATCTCTTCTTTGGAACAGATTTGGAGAAATTCAGAATTACATCACTTGCTCACTAATGGATGCAGTGGATGGGTGCCGTCAGAATGAGAGTCCAAACATCACAATAATCCACAAGTAAAACACACGACTCCAGTGAAGCAAGAAAAAACCCTGCATGTTTGTTATTAACAAATCCATCATAAAGATGTTTTTAACATTAAATCTTTGCTTCTGGCTAAAATATGAGTCCTCTATCCATAAGATTGTCTTCTCCAGTGAAAAAGACATCTCATCTGAATCAGGAGAGAAATATGCACCGATCAAGCAACGTTTACAAGCGAAAACAGTCCAAAATAGTTCTAAACAAATATGTTGGTGGATTTTGATGTAAGAGGATAACAGGGGATGGACTTTTACACTGAAGAAAGCATTATTATAGATTATTTTGGCCAGAAGCAACAGTTTAAAGTTAAGACGCTTTAATGATGGATTTATTTCTTGAAAACATGCAGCTTTTCACATTACAAGATGTTAATTGATTGAATGGAGTCGTGTGGATTATTGTGATGTTTTTATCAGCTGTCTGGACTCTCATTCTGACGGCACCCATTCACTGCAGAAGATCCTTTGGTGAGAAAGTGATGTAATGCTGAATTTCTCCAAATCTGTTCCAATGAAGAAACACCCTCATCTATACCCTGGATGGACTGAGGGCGAGTACATTTTAAGCAAATTTAAATTTTTGGGTGAAATAAAGTTTCATCAAGAAGAGCATGCTTGAGATGAAATATGAAGCGTGTCATGTGATGTGTAAAGAAAATGTATAGAAATTAAGGTAAATATTACTTGAAGAATATTTTTGCTGTGCATCATTTGCAATCAAGCTGTAAGATTGTAAACATTATACAAAAACAGTGAAAATGTTATGAATTGTAGGAATTCAAATAATGAAATTAGCCTCAGCGAGGACTCCGCAACAACAGATTTAGAATGTTTGAAATGTCATTTCCATCACAAAATTATATTAGACACAATACATCATTTGAGATGTGGTAGAAATGACACTGGTGAAAATGTTCAAAATGACAAAAATAACAAATAACAGACAAAAATAGAGTTCTCCTGGGATGCATGTATATACACACACAATAGTGTACACACATTAAACAGATTGTGAATAGTAAGTTTTGTTTTCTAAAAGTCCACAGGTCCAAAAGTCCCTATATTCGAAGAAACTTCCTCATAAATAATGTACAGTTGATATATGCAGTTGATTGCACTAAAGGAACAAGATCACACTTTACACATTATATATTGCGTTATATAATTAAAAACCCAAAAGGACAAGGGTAGACAAGTTTCATTCATGAACCGCCAGAGGTTGTGTCATTCATAAACTATTAAATTCTCCTCTAAGAAAGAGCAAATCAGCTGGATGTGGGAATTTCCAGTCATTCGTTAGTGTTGTTGTGGGGAGATTTGGGGATGAATGTTTTAAGACAACAGGGCAAAGACCTTCACTTTAACATCATAACCAGTAAGCAGTCACAATTATCACGTATAGGACCCAGCTTCATCACATCCACACACACACACACACACGCATATTTTGGTAAGGAAGTTAATAACACTGATCTCAGCTGGAGTTCTCAAATTCTCAGCCAATACACCAGAGTCATCCACATAGTATATATGTAGAGTGTGAAAATTATTCAAGGTTGTTATATTATAGGCTTGACAATCAAGTACCACAGAAACCTTGTGTGTGTACCATCTCTATGAAAACAACTGCTTGGTAATATTGACTAACTGTCTTTATATTCACATCACAGTTTCCTCCTTGTGTCTACAGTATGTTGGGAGAAGTGAACGCCTGACTGTGAAATTTTCCTGTCATAGTATCTATGGGTGTGTAGGAACCTAGAGAATCATTAAACATTTACAGGTCATTTTAAAAGCCCAGAGGGTGCTGAGGCATTTGGACACGTTCTCCTGTTTTTCCAAACGCCTCTTTCTCACCACACTCGATCTTAACCATATAAAGCTTATTGTGTGAAATTTGATAAGCAAATTCTAAGGTCTCTAAATTATAAATGTTAAAAACTTGAGAAATCTCTTGTATACAATTACAGACCCTACATTACATGCCTTCTTACATCTGATAGATAGTTTATATGTTTTTAGCAAGTAATAGGCCTTTTAGTATATTTGTAAAAACGCTCACCTTCAGGTCGTGGTTCACATGTCTTTTTGCTGTGAAATCTTTACTGATTATTATGAAGTAAACATAAGAATTTCTTTTAAATTTGTAATTAAGATAAACACTTATTGGACTGAAGCAACTTATGTTTACTTGATGATTATTTTTTAAAATAAAAATTACATTAAAATCCATCAGTCTTTTGAGGAACGTTTATTTGTTCTCTTTCAGTCATCATGTATTGCATTGCATTATGTTTTGCCCTCCACAATAAAAACGTCAGCTTCGATCATAAAACTAAGCATTTAAATATAGATTGACAAGTGATATACTGTTATAAAAATCTCATTGATTTACACACATTATCAGAAATGTGATATGACACACAGAAATCTGAGTGTGTATATACAGTATCTCACAGAAGTGAGTACACCCCTCACATTTTTGTAAATATTTTATATCTTTTCATGTGACAACACTGAGTATTTGACAACACTCAAAATAACTCAACCCACAGCCATTAATGTCTAAACCGCTGGCCACAAATGTGAGTACACCCGTAAGTGAAAATGTCCAAATCAGGCCCAAAGTGTCAATATTGTGCGCCCACCATTATTTTCCAGCACTGCCTTAACCCTCTTGGGCATGGAGTCCTCTTCTACTCCTCCATGACGACATCACGGAGCTGGTGGATGTTAGAGACCTTGCGCTCCTCCACTTTCCGTTTGAGGATGCCCCACAGATGCTCAATATGGTTTAGGTCTGGAGACATGCTTGGCCAAGCCATCACCTTTACCCTCAGCTTCTTTAGCAAGGCAGTGGTCACCTTGGAGGTGTGTTTAGGGTCGTTACCATGTTGGAATACTGCCCTGCGGATCGTGCTCTGCTTCAGTATGTCACAGTACATGTTGTCATTCATGGTTCCCTCAATGAACTGTAGCTCCCCAGTGCCGGCAGCACTCATGCAGCCCCAGACCAAGACTCTACCACCACCATTCTTGATTGTAGGCAAGACACACTTGTCTTTGTACTCCTCACCTGGTTGCCGCCACACACGCTTGACACCATCTGAACCAAATAAGTTTATCTTGGTCTCATCAGACCACAGGACATGGTTGCAGTAATCCATGTCCTTAGTCTGCTTGTCTTCAGCAAACTGTTTGCGGGCTTTCTTGTGCATCATCTTTAGAAGAGGCTTCCTTCTGGGACGACAGCCATGCAGACCAATTTGATGCAGTGTGCGGCATATGGTCTGAGCACTGACAGGCTGACCCCCCAGCCCTTCAACCTCTGCAGCAATGCTGGCAGCACTCATACGTCTATTTCCCAAACACAACCTCTGGATATGACGCTGAGCACGTATACTTCTTTGGTCTACCATGGCGAGGCCTGTTCTGAGTGGAACCTGTCCTGTTAAACCGCTGTATGGTCTTGGCCACCATGCTGCAGCTCAGTTTCAGGGTCTTGGCAATCTTCTTATAGCCTACGTCATCTTTATGTAGAGCAACATTTTTTTTTTCCAGATCCTCAGAGAGTTCTTTGCCATGAGGTGCCATGTTGAACTTCCAGTGACCAGTATGAGAGAGTGAGAGCGATAACACCAAATTTAACACACCTGCTCCCCATTCACACCTGAGACCTTGTAACACTAATGAGTCACATGACACCGGGGAGAGAAAATGGTAATTGGGCTCAATTTGGACATTTTTACTTAGGGGTGCACTCACTTTTGTGGCCAGCGGTTTAGACATTAATGGCTGTGTGTTGAGTTATTTTGAGGGGACAGCAAATTTACACTGTTATACAAGCTGTACACTCACTAATGTACATTGTAGCAAAGTGTCATTTCTTCAATATATATATACAGTTGTGCTCAAAATTATTCATACCCTTGATAAATATGATTAAAGAAGGCTGTGAAAATTAATCTGTATCATCAATCTTTTAGATATTTAATTAAAAAAATTTACTAAAATCTAACCTTTCATTGGAGAATAAAAATTTAAAATGGGAGAGAAATCTCATTATGAAATAATTGTTTTTCTCTAATACACATTGGTCACACTTAATCATACCCTTTTATCCAATACTTTTTGCAACCTCTTTTTGCCAAGAGAACAGCTCTGAGTCTTCACCTGTAATGCCTGAAGAGTTTAGAGAACATCTGACAGGAGATCAGAGACCATTTCTTCATCTAGAATCTCTCCAGACCCTTCAGATTTCCAGCTGCATGTTGATGCTTCTCCTCTTCAGTTCACCACACTCATTTTCTATAGGGTTCAGCTCAGGGAACTGGGTTGGCCAGGGCAGAATATTTCTAGCATGGACAGTCAGTTTTTAATTTTTAATCCATTGGTATTTTATAGAATCCATTATGCCATCTATCTGAACAAGATATCCAGGATCTCCGGCAGAAAAATAGGCTCACACCATTAAACATCCAGCAGTATATTTCATTGTACACATGGGTACTTTTTATCCCTGTGTACACCAAACCCATATTGAGTGTTTGCTGC